GGGAAAACCGGTGGGCCCTCGGGCCTGCGGCATTCCGGTCACCCATTATAATCAATGCACAATGCAGAGGCAACTTTCACAGGCACACAGGGAAAACCGGCTGGCCCTTGGCCCTGTGGCATTCCAGTCACCCATTATTATCAATTCACAATGAAGAGGCATCTTTCAAATGCCCAAAGGGAAACCCTGCGGGCCCTCGGGACTGTGGCATTCCAGTCACCCATTATTATCAACGCACAATGAAGAGGCATCTTTCAAAGGGTCTCTGAGAAACCTGGTAGTCCCTCCGGCCTGCGGCATTCGAGTCACCCATTATTTTCCATGCGCAACGAAGAGGCATCTTTCAAAGGCACACTGCGAAACCCGGCAGGCCCTCGGGCCTGTGGCATTCCAGTCACCCATTATTCTCAAAGCACAACCAAGCAGAAACTTTCAAAGGCTCACAGAGAAAACCGGTCGGCCCTTGATCCTGGGGAATTCCAGTCACCCATTGTAATCAATACACAACATAGAGGCATCTTTCAATGGCACACAGGGTAACCCGGAGGGCTGTCGTGTCTGCAGCATTCCAGTAACCCATTATTATCAATGCACAACAAAGAGGCAACTTTCGCAGGCACACAGGGAAAACCGGTGGGCCCTCGGGCCTGCGGTATTCCAGTCACCCATTATTATCAACGCACAATGAAGAGGCACCGTTCAAAGGCTCACGGGAAAACCTGGCAGGCCGTCGGGCCTGCGGCATTCTAGACACCCATTATGATCAATGCACAAGGAAGAGGCATCTTTCAAAGGCACACTGAGAAAACCAGCGGGACCTCGGACCTGCGGCATTCCAGTCATCCATTATTATCCATGCGCAATGAAGAGGCTTCTTTCAGAGGCTCGCCGGGAAAACCGGCGGGCCCTCGGGGCTGCGGCATTCCAGTCACCCATTATTATCAATGTGCAACAAAGAGGCATCTTTCACAGGCTCACTGGGAAAACCAGTGGGCCATCGGGCCGGTGGCATTCCGGTTCCCCATTATTATCAAAGCGAAAGGAAGAGGCATCCTTCAGAGGCACAACGGAAAAACTTCGGGCCCTCTGGCCTGCGGCATTCCAGTCAACAACTATTAATAATGCGCAATGAAGAGGCAAAATTCAGAGGCACACCGGGAAAACGGGTGGGCCCTCGGGCCTGTGGCATTACAGTCACCCATTATTATCAGAGCGCAAGGAAGAGGCATCTTTCAGAGGCTCATCAGGAAACCCAGCGGGCCCTCTGGCCTATGGCATTCCAGTCACCCATTATTATCAATGAGCAACGAAGAGGCCTCCTTCAGAGGCTCACCAGGAAAATCAGCGGGCCCTTGGGCCTGCAGCATTCCAGTCACCCATTATTATCAATGCACAACGAAGAGGCATCTTTCAACAGCTCACCAGGAAAACCGGTGGGCCCTCAGGCCTGCGGCATTCCACTCACCCATTATTATCAATGCACAACGAAGAGGCATCTTTCAAAGTCTCACCGGAAACCCCAGCGGGTACTCGGGAATGCGGCATGCCAGTTACCCATTATTATCAATGAATAATGAACAGGCACCTTTTGAAGGCTCACTGGGAAGAACGAAGAGGCATCTTTCAAAGGCTCATTGGGAAATCCGGCGGGCCCTCGGACTTGTGCATTCCAGTCACCCATTACTGTCAAAGCACAACGAAGAGGCATCTTTAAGAGGCTCACTGGGAAACCCGGCGGGCCCTCGGGACTGCACCATTCCAGTCACCCATTATTATCAATGCAGAATGCAGAGGCATGTTTCAGAGGCTCACCGGAAAAACCGGTGGGCCCTCAGGCCGGCGGAATTCCACTCACGCATTATTATCAATAGGAAATGAAGAGGTATCTTTCAGAGGCTCAGTGGGAAAACCGGCGGGCCCTCAAGCATGTGGCATTCCATTCACACATTATTATCAATGCGCAACAGAGAGGCATGTTTCAAAGGCTCACTGGGGAAACCAGTGGGCCGTCGGGTCTGTGGCATTCCAGTCACCCATTATTATCAATGCGCAACGAAGAGGCGTCCTTCAGAGGTTCACCGGGAAAACCGGTGGGCCCTCAGGCCTGCGACATTCCAGTCACCCATTATTATCACTGCGCAACGTAGAGGCATCTTTCAAAGGCACCCATTGAAAACCGCCGGGTCCCCGGTCAGCTGCATTTCAGCCACCCTTTATTCTCAAAGCACAATGAAGAAGCATCTTTCAAAGGCAACAGGGAAAACCGATGGGCCCTAGGGCCTGCGGCATTCCAGTCACCCATTATTATCACTGCACATCGAAGAGGCATCTTTCAAAGACACCCATGGAAAACCGGCAGGCCCTTGGCCAGGTGTATTCTAGTCACCCTTTATTTTCAAAGCACAAAAAAGAGGAATCTTTCCAAGGCTCACAGGCAAAACCGATGGGCCCTCGGGCCTTTGGCATTCCAATCACCCATTATTATCAATGCACAACGAAGAGGCATCTTTCAAAGGCTCACCGGGAAACCTGGCGGGCACTCGGGCCTGCGGCATTCCAGTCACCCATTATTATCAACGCGGAATGCATAGGCATGTTTTAGAGGCTCACCAGAAAACCAGCGGGCCCTGGGTCCTGTGGCATTCCTGTCACGCATTATTATCAATACGAAACCAAGAGGCATCTTTCAGAGGCTCAGTGGGAAAACCGGCGGGCCCTCAGGCATGCGGCATTCCAGTCACCCATTATTATCAATGCACAATGAAGAGGTATCTTTCAGAGGCACACTGGAAAAATGGTGCGCGCTCGGGCCTGCGGCATTCCAGTCACCAACTAGTAACAATGTGCAACTAAGAGGCAACATTCAGAGGCACACCGGAAAAACCGGCGGGCCCTTGGGCTTGAGGCATTCCAGTCACCCATTATTATCAATGCGCAACGAAGAGGCATCTTTCAAAGGCACACATGGAAAACCGGCGGGCCCGTGGGACAGCTGCATTCCAGTCACCCTTTATTCTCAAAGCACAATGAAGAGGCATCTTTCAAAGGCTCACAGGCAAAACCGGCGGGCCCTCGGGCCTGCGGCATTCCAGTCACCCATTATTATCAATGCTCAAAAAACAGGCAACTTTCAGGGGCACACCAGGAAAACTGGCGGGCCCTCGGGCCTGCGACATTCCATTCACCCATTATTAAAATGCACAATGAAGAGGCATCTTTCAAAAGCACACCGGGAAGCCCGGCGAGCCCTCTGGCTTGCGGCATTGTAGTCACCCTTTATTAACAATACACAATGAAAAGGCACCTTTCACAGGCACACATGGTAAACCGGCGGGCCCTTGGTCCTGCGGCATTCCATTCACCCATTATTATCGAAGTGCAACGAAGAGGCACCTTTCAGAGTCTCACCGGGAAAACCGGCAAGCCCTCGGGGTTGCGACATTCCATTGACCCATTATTAAAATGCACAACGAAGAGGCAACTTTCTAAGGTACACAGGAAAAACCGATGGGCCCTCGGGCATGCGGCATTCAGTCACCCATTATTACCAATGCATACCAAAGAGGCACATTTCAAAGGGAATCTGGAAAGCAAGGCCCGGCCGGACCAGGCCCCAAAGGTCAAGGCCAGGCCGGTCCAGGCCCTTGAGGGCAAGGCCAAGCCAGTCCAGGCCCCGGAGGGCAAGGCCCTGGAGGGCAAGGCTAGAAGGGGCCAGACCCCAGAAGGCAAGGCCAAGCCAGACCAGGGCAGGCCAGACGAGGCACCGGAGGGCAAGGCAAGGCCAGACCAGGCCGCGGAAGGAAGTCCAGGCTGGGGTAGGCCCCGGAGGACAAGGACAGTCCGGGCAAGGCCAGGCTGGTCCAGGCCTCGAAGTGCAAGGCTGGGTGGGCCAGGCTGGGCCGGACCAGGCCCCGTAAGGCAATGCCAGGCCGAGCCAGGCCCCAGAAGGCAAGTACAGGCCGTGCCAGGCCCCGAAGGGCAAGACCAGGTCGGGCCAGGCCCCAGAGTGCAAGGCCAAGCCGGTCCAGGCCCCAGAGGGCAAGGCAAGGCCGGACCAGGCCCCAGAGGGCAGGCCAGGCCGGGCCAGGAACCGGAGGGCAAGGCCAGGCCGGGCCAGGCCCCGGAGGGCAAGGTCAAGCTGGGGCAGGCCAGGCCGGACCAGGCACAGGAGGGCAAGGCCAGGCGGGGCCAGGCCAGGCCGTGCCAGGCCAGGCCGTGCCAGGCCCCGGGAGGCAAAGCCAGGCAGGGCAAGGACACGGAGGGCACTGCCAGGCCGGGCCAGTCCACGGAGGGCAAGGCCAGGGGGGGTCAGGCCCCGGAGGACAAGGCCATGCCGAGCCAGGCCCATGAAAACAAGGCCAGGCATCGCCAGGCTCATGAGGGCAAGGCCAGGCTGGGCCCCGCACCAGAGGGCAAAGCCAGGAGGGGCCAGGACGCGGAGTGCAAGGCCAGGCAGTGCCAGGGCCCGGAGTGCACGGCCAGGCCATGCGAGGCCTCAGAAGGCAAGGACAGGCCGGACCAGGCTGGGCAGGGCCAGACCCCGGAGGGCAAGGCCAGGCCGGGCCAGGTCGGGGAGGGCAATGCCAGGCCGGGCCAGGTCCCGGAGGGCAAGGCCAGGCCGGGCCAGGTCGGGGAGGGCAATGCCAGGCCGGGCCAGGTCCCGGAGGGCAAGGCCAGGCCGGGCCAGGTCGGGGAGGGCAATGCCAGGCCGGGCCAGGTCCCGGAGGGCAAGGCCAGGCCGGGCCAGGTCGGGGAGGGCAATGCCAGGCCGGGCCAGGTCCCGGAGGGCACTGCCAGGCAGGGCCAGTCCAGGTCTCTTACTTACAGTCTCTAGCCAGGCCAGGTCTCTGACTCATGGTCTCTGACTCATGGTTTCTGATGAGTCATGGTCTCTGCTGCCTCATGGTCACAGAAGACTCATCGTCTCTGCTGACTCATTGTCTCTCCTGACTCTTGGTCTCTGCTGACTCATGGTCTCTGCTGACACATGGTCATGCCCCGGAGTGCAAGGCCAGGCTGGGCCAGGCCCTGGTGTGCAAGTCCAGCCCACGCCCAGCTCCGCAGGGCTTTCCACAATATAAATTTCCGGCAAGCCGAAAAGATGATGGAGACCATGGACCAGGGTGACGTGATCATCCGACCAAGCAGCAAGGGCGAGAATCACCTCTCAGTGATCTGGAAGGTCGGTGACGGCATCTACCAGCACGTGGAGGTTCGAGAAGAAGGCAAGGAGTATGCCTTCACCCTGGGAGCCACCCTGTGGATCGACAGGGAGCAATTTGAAGACTTGGACGAGATCATTGCCCGCTTTGTCCAGCCCATGGCGTCTTTTGCTCAGGACCTTCTGAACCACAAGTATTATCGGGACTGCAGTGGTGGGGACCGCAAGAAATTAGAGGAGCTGCTCCTCAAAACTAAGGAGCAGAAGCCCCCCTTCCTCCCTTATTTCATCTGTGCCTGCAAGGAACTGCCCGGCAAGTTCCTACTGGGATACCAGCTCGCGAGTAAACCCAGGATAGAATATGTAACATTGACTCCAGAAGGATTCCGCTATTGTGGCCAAATCTTCCCAACTGTGAATGGACTTTTTAGATGGTTTAAGGATCATTACCAAGATCCTGTACCAGGTATCACCCCCAGCAGAAGCAGCAGCAACAGCAGCAGGACTCGGACACCTGCCTCTATCAATGCTACTCCAGCCAACATCCACTTTGCGGATCTCACACGGGCTGCGACCGCTCTGCCTCAGAGCATGACCTCACAAACGTTCAGGCCATTGATGCTGTGAGCGGCCAAGGACAGAACCACAACGCCAGCCCCCGCCCAGTGGGCCTCTAGCCAGTACGGCTATGGTGGCAGCGGAGGAGGCAACAGCACTTACCATGTGTTCCCAACACCGGCCCAGCAGCCAGTGGCCACACCACTAAGGACCCCGAGCTACTCCTACACAAGCCCAAGCCAACCCATCGCCACACCACAGTACCACCAGCCACAGGCCAGCACCACCCCCGAGTTTACCCAGGCCCAACCCCAGCCTTCATTCAGCTCCCGACAATGGCAGCAGCAGCCGCCCAATTCCAACAGCCATGCAGCCTCACCTGGCGGAAGATGGCAGAACAGTGGCTACAGGAAGCTCAAGGAACTGAAGAACAAATTCAAACCTTCAGTTGTTATACTTAAGGATGCTTTTGGCAGAATAATAAACGATCCAGGAAGTATTCAAAGCAAATGGAAAACACCTCACAGGGGCTTAAAATCTTCACAGGGGATAAACGTAGTCAACTCATAGGAGGATACACACCTCACAGGAGAATGAACACCTCAAAGGGGGTAAACACCTCACACGGCATAAGCACCTAACAGGGGGGTAAACACCTCACAGGGAGGGAGCGTAAACACCTCACGGGAGATAAAAACGTCACAGGAGGATACACACCTCACAGGAGTATACACACGTCACAGGGGGGTAAACACCTCACGGTGGACAAACACCTCACAAGGCGTAAACAACTCATGGGGGATAAACACCTCACAGGAGGATACACACCTCCCTGGGGGATAAACACCTCACAGGGGGATAAACACCTCAAAGGAGGATAAAGACCTCACAGGGGGTAAAAAAACTCACGGGGGATAAACACCTCACAGGAGAATACACATCTGACAGGGGGGTAAACACCTCACAGGTGGATAAAAAACTCACAGGATTATAAAAACCTCACAGGGGTATAAACACCTCACGGGAGAATAAACACCTCACAGGATGATAAATACCACACAAAGGGATAAACACCTCACAGGGGGTAAACACCTCACAGTGGGGTAAACCCCTCAAGGTGGATAAACACCTCACAGCGGTAAAGACCTCACAAGGAGAGGGGGTAAACTCTTCACAGGGGATAAACTTAGTCAACTCATAGGAGGATAAACACCTCACAGGAGGATGAAAACTTCAAAGGGGGTAAACACCTCACAGGGCATAAGCACCTAACAGGGGGGTAAACACCTCACAGGGAGGGAGAGTAAACACCTCACGGGGAATAAACACATTACAGGGGCCTAAGCACCTCACAGGGGGTTAAAGCCCTCAAGGTGGATTAACACATCACAGGCGTAAACACTTCACAGGGAGAGGGGGTAAACACGTCACAGGGGGAAAATACCTCACAGAGTGGTACACACTTACAAGGGATAAACACCTCACAGGGGCGACAAAACACATCACAGGACGATAAACACCTCACAGGGGGTAAACACCTCACAGGTGGAAAAAATTTCACAGGGGGATAAAAAGCTCACAGGGGGTAAACACCTGACAGGGGGATAAACACCTCAAAGGAGGGTAAACACCTCACAGGGGGAAAAAACCTCAAAGTGGGTAAACACTTCACAGGGGTTAAACAACCCACGGGGGTTAAACAACTCACAGGGGCATAAACACCTCACTGGAGGATAAACACCTCAAAGGGGATAAACACCTGACAGGGGGTGAAACACCTCACAGGGGATAAACACTTCACAGGGGGATAAACACCTCATAGGTGGATAAACACCTCTCAGGAGGATAAACACCTCAAAGGGGATAAAGACCTCACAGGTGGATGAACACCTCACAGGTGGATGATCACCTCACAGGATGATACACACCTCAAAGGGGGTAAACAACTAACAGGGTATAAGCACCTCACGGGGGGGGGATAAACACCTCAAGGCAGGGAGCGTCAACACCTCATGGGGAATAAACACCTCACAGGGGCTAAACAACTCACAGGAGGATACACACCTCACAGTGGGATAAACACCTCACAGAGTGGTACACATCTTACAGGGGATACACACCTCACAGGGGGGTAAACACCTCAAGGGGTTTTAGACACCTCACAGGGGCTTAAAATCTACACAGGGAATAAACTTAGTCAGCTCATAGGAGGATAAACACCTCACAGGAGGATGAACACCTCAAAGGGGGTAAACACCTCACAGGGTGTAAACAACTCACGGGGGGTAAAGAGCTCACAGGGGCATAAACACCTCACAGGAGGATAAACACCTCACAGGGGGGGTAAATACCTCACAGGGGGTAAACACCTCAAAGGGGGTAAACACCTCACAGGGAATAAACACATCACAGGGGGGTAAACACCTCATAGGTGGATAAACACCTCACAGGAGAATAAACACCTCACAATAGGATAAACACCTCAGAGGGGGTAAACACCTCACAGGGGGGTAAACCCCTCAAGGTGGATAAACATCTCAAAGGGGTAAACACCTCACAGGGAGAGGGGGTAAACACCTCACAGGGGGCAAACACCTAACAGAGTGGTACACACTTTATAGGGGGTAAAAACCTCACAGGAGGATATAAACCTAACGGGAAGATAAACACGTCACAGAAGGATTAAAACCTAACAGGAGGATAGACACCTCACAGGGGGTAAATACCTCATAGGGAGTAAAGACCTCAAAGGGGGCATAAACAAATCAAAGGAAGATAAACACCTCACAAGGGGTAAACAACTCATGGGGGATAAACATCTCACGGGAGGATACACACCTCACAGGGGAGTAAACACCTCACAGGTGAATAAACACTTCACAGGGGGATAAAAACCTCACGGGGGGTAAACACCTGACAGGGGAATAAACACCTCACAGGAGGATAAACACCTCACAGTGGGGAAAAACCTCAAAGGGGGTAAACACCTCACAGGGGGTAAATAACTCACGGGGGGTAAACAACTCACAGTAGGATAAAAACCCCAGAGGAGGATAAACACCTCAAAGGGGGTAAACACCTTTCAGGGAATAAACACCTCACAGGGGGTGAAACAACTCACAGGGGATAAACACCTCACAGGGGTATAAACACCTCACAGGACGATAAACACCTCAAAGGGTATAAACACCTCACAGGGAATAAACACCTCACAGGGGGGTAAATACCTCACAGTGGGTAAACACCTCAATGTGGGTAAACATGGCACAGAGGATAAACACCTCACAGGACGATAAACACCTCACAGGGGGATAAACACCTAACAGGGAATAAACACCTCACAGGGGGGTAAACACCTCATAGGTGGATAAACAGCTCTCAGGAGGATAAACACCTCAAATGGGGTAAAGACCTCACAAGTGGATGAACACCTCACAGGTGGATGAACACCTCACAGGATGATACACACCTCAAAGGGCTTAAACAACTAACAGGGGTTAAGCACCTCACGGGGGGATAAACACCTCACGGCAGGGAGCGTAAACACCTCACGGGGAATAAACACCTCACAGGGGGTGAAACAACTCACAGGAGGATACACACCTCACTGTGGGATAAACACCTCCGAGAGTGGTACACATCTTACAGGGGATACACACCTCACAGGGGGGTAAACACCTCAAGGGGGTGTAAACACCTCACAGTGCCTTAAACTCTTCACAGGGGATAAACTTAGTCAACTCATAGGAGGATAAACACCTCACAGAAGGATGAACACCTCAAAGGGGGTAAAAACCTCACAGGGCAAAAGCACCTAACAGGGGGGTTAACACCTCACAGGGAGGGAGTGTAAACACCTCACGGGGAATAAACACCTCACAGAGGTGTAATCCCTCAAGGTGGATTAACACATCACAGGCGTTAACACCTCACAGGGAAACGGAGTAAACACCTCACAGGGGGCACACACCTCACAGAGTGGTACACACTTAGAAGGGATAAACACCTCACAGGGGCGATAAACATCTCACAGGACGATAAACACCTGACAGGGGGTAAACACCTCACAGTTGGATAAACACTTCACAGGGGTTTAAAAACCTCACAGGGGGTAAACACCTGAGAGGGGGATAAACACCTCACAGGAGGGTAAACACCTCACAAGGGGGGAAAACCTCAAAAGGGGTAAACACCTCACAGGG